GGTGACTCGGACAACACCACCGGCCGGTTTCTCGATTGCCCACCTCATCGGCTCCAACCGCGTCCTCGGCCCAAGACATTCTGTTACCGAGGCAACCGGCAGCAATCCCACGTGAAAGCAGACCTCGCCGCAAACCGAGTAGACACGTTGCCGACCGGCTAGACCGCCCACTCGCCGGTCTCCTCCACAACAAGCATATCCGCACTGCACCATTTCTGTGATACACTCACTGGCTCGATTGCCAGCGCCTCCATTTTGATGCTCTCGCTCTCTCTCTCTCTCTCTCTCTCTCTCTCCCTTTCTTGCTTGTGTACATCTCTTCTTCGTCCCTTCCACCAACCTCCACCTCTTCTCGACTCTCTGGCCGATAGACGCCGGCCAGCCGAACAAACTATCAAATAAAACTGGTTTACCCTTTTCTCGTTTGTCTTCTCAATCATCGCGATCGTCGGCTCGGTAGCAAACACTAGCAATCCCAGTTGCCATGGTTACTGAACAGACAACAGATTAACTGTCCTCATTTTGCAACAACCCGGTCGCCAAGCCGTGAGGTTGTCGGCTGTTGCGTTAGATACCTCTCGTTGATGCTTGCCAAGCCACGTGATTTTGGGCCTCGTGGAGACCTCATAAAGATGAGCCCTGCTGCCATAGCAACTACTCGCCTGCCTCTCTGCTTCAGCTTAGAGTGGCCACGGCCACAACATACCTTATGGACGAAGACGGGGCAACTTTGGGTGCCTAGGCGACACCTTTTCATAAACAGCAGCCAACGGACTCGAAACTGAGTGACAAATTCGTGCAACTCGCGACACCGACACGAATTGGTATCACTTGGCCATGGGGCAGAAGCAACAGACAAGGCCGACCGAGCCATTTGCAACCAACCCTTTCAGCATTTGCAAATAAAAGTTGGCTTTCAATGACCCTCTTCTTTCAGAATTGTTCAGCTTACTTTCATTTCGAGTAAAAGTGTGCGGGAAGAGTTTCCAAGGTCGATTCCTGCAGAAGATGATGGCGGATTCCTCTTGACGAGCTGTCGATTGGCGTTATTGAAACATTCCTGTTGATGCTGTTCTCGAAATAATCGCCCTCGATTCTGGTGAAAACATGAAAAGCTTTCATACTTGCATACCATTCAATTGGTTTGAGAAGGCTAGTGTGGTATGGATCGGTAGATTGGCCGCACCAGATACCGAAGGAGAGTTGTCTTGGACTTTTGTCCGCTGAATTGTGCCAAAATGACTTCGACTCACCGTCCTATGGCGCTGGACTTTCATTCGTCATGTCACGCAGCCGGAAACCATGATTCACGAAAAAAATCAACAAATAACACTAAACCAAGAAAAGTGGCCAGCTGAGATCATACTTACTTTGTGTACTTCACTTTGCGATCTTAATGAGGCATTGCATGGTTTCGTTGACTGTCCCTACATGCACGTATGAGAATGAAAGTGATACAGGAAGGGCAGCGGATGTGGTTTCAACTTCTCAATATTGAAAAAAACTAGAGTATGACAGTACAATCCTTTCCTTCTTTTCATCTCTCTCTCTCTCTCTAATTGTATTTAGCAGCCAGAACGAGTTCGAACTCAGTTTCCTACATTCGTTCGTCTCAGTCGGGATGTTCTTTATTTTGTTTATTTCAATCGACTCCCTACCTCATCTTCCGTTTTGCAGTAAAGTACCCATATCCGACAAAATTTGGAATTTATGCAACTCTATCTGGTCTCATGTAGTAACCACATGTTTAGCCGGCTCCGATTTCTTAATCCATAAACATTTGCAGCCGGTTTTGTGTTCTTGTGTGGGCCGACAAGTTCAAGAACGAGATTCTTGTAGATCATCTTTCCTCGCTAGTGGCAAAAAGTAAAGGTTGAGCCTACGTGGCGCTAATCTCATA